ACCCTGTTGCGGGACACTCTTGTGGGACACTCTTGTGGGACACTCTTGTAGGACACTCTTGTGGGACACTCTTGTGGGACACTCTTGTCGGAAACTCTTGTGGGATACTCTTGTAGGACACTCTTGTGGGACACTCTTGTAGGACACTCTTGTGGGACACTCTTGTAGGGAACTCTTGTCTTGTGGGACACTCTTGTAGGAAACTCTTGTGGGGCACTCTTGTAGGACACTCTTGTGGGACACTCTTGTAGGGCACTCTTGACTCTTGTGGGACACACTTGTGAGACACTCTTGTGGGACTCTTGTGGGACACTCATATGGGACACTCTTGTGGGACACTCTTGTAGGACGCTCTTGTGGGACACTCTTGTGGGAGACTCTTGCGGGACACTCTTGTAGGAAACTCTTGTGGGATACTCTTGTAGGACACTCTTGTGGGACACTCTTGTAGGACACTCTTGTTGGACACTCCTGTAGGACACTCTTGTGGGACACCCTTGTGGGACACTCTTGTGGGACACTCTTGTAGGAAATTCTTGTGGGACACTCTTGTAGGACACTCTTGTGGGACACTCTTATAGGACACTCTTGCGGGACACTCTTAAGGGACACTCTTGTGGGACACTCTTGTACGAAACTCTTGTGGGATACTCTTGTAGGACACTCTTGTGGGACACTCTTGTAGGACATTCTTGTGGGACACTCTTGTAGGGCACTCTTCGTACGAGACTTCCTCCAAAAGTCACACGTCAAGTCTCCAAAACGAGCGTTTCGCACGAGACTTCCTCCAAAAGTCACATGTCAAGTCAAGCCTCCAAAAGTCACGTGTCAAGTCTCCAAAACGAGCGTTTCGTACGAGACTTCCTCCAAAAGTCACATGTCAAAGTCTGCAAAACGAGCATTTCGTACGAGACTTCCTCCAAAAGTCAAGCAGAAACACCCATCGGAGCACACACATCACGCAGCCCTGCCAAGCAGTTTCGCAAGTCCAGCCCCTCCAAACAACACCCGTTCACAGGCCAATCCCACTGTGACAGCGACATTCACTTCTACCACAACTCACGACCTCACAATTCCCTGCGCCTGCCACGAATCTTTCCGCATCCACATGTCTAACGCGCACAAAGTACTGCGCCTGCCACGAAATGTCACTTCCCTGCGCCTGCCACGAGAATCGCACTTCCACGCCTCAAAACCAACACAAAGTACTGCGCCTGCCACGAATAGTGACAATATCATCTCATGTCAGCTTCAACAAAATTTGCACCACACCACACGTTTGGAATGATTTCGACCCGTTCTGAGCACACTCCCATCCACCAAAATCGGCATTTCAGCTGAGACTTGTCACGAAAACAGAGCTTCGATGCCACACCCTGAAACGCAAATCCCAATGGCACGGCCATGTCCAACACCCCAAGAACACGACTCTCCAAACGTTAATCCCAATGGAACTGCGTAGCAACCTGCGGATCTCACAAAACGCTGCGCCTGTGCAGCGAAATGCATCACGCTCCTTGCGCGACGTGTCATTTTCACGCAAATCACAATGGAATAGCGTCGCAAACTGACACGTGACACATCTATGAAAAGTCACTTGCAAAAGCTTCCCCCAATGGCAGCGCCTTAGCGCCCTACTGCGGACGGTTGCGAACGGTTGCGGACGGTTGCGGACGGTTGCGAACGGTTGCGGACGGTTGCGAACGGTTGCGGACGGTTGCGAACATAGAAGCAACGGGTCGCGAACAAGGCTCTACCCCCAGACCCCCAAGAGTTAAACGAGAACCCTTCGCTATGCATTCGAGAGAAAACGCACACAATCTTCATGAACTTCTGCTTCATCCAGGTACAAGGCAATTGTCAAAGCAACCAAAACTCTCTACAAAAAAACTTTTGACCCCAACGCCTTATCACCTCATCTCCAACAATGACCAAAAAAATATGTAAACATGTAATTCACTGCCCTGTGTATCTTCCGCATGAACTTATGCTTTGTCTGGGTACAAGGCAAGGAAGAAACGCCGCTAAGAAGTAGCTTGGAGATTCTGATATGTGAGTATGACATCTATAGAGAGAGCTCTTTGTCTTCCTTTGAGTGTCAGCTAGAGAGCCATGCAAATGCAGTACATGACTACAGTACAGATGGGAGGTAGGTAGTCACAAGAGATGTACTGTGATCTTGGAAGAACAGCCAGCTCACTTGGGGGAAGGAAAAATATTGCCTGAGCGTCTTGCTTTGAGCTGATGTCTTTTCGAACTTGTGCCGTTCACTGAAGGTCATGTGACTTTGTAGGCTTCCTGTGGAATATCTTCACCACTGTGAAACCATAACATATCAGAATCAGTCATGCCACATCCGCAACGTAGAAAATATGAGGCTTCAAGTAGCCTTGGCCTTTAGCAACTTCCCTTAACTTTTTGCAACTTCGCATCAATCACAGTCATCGCAAATGGGCTCAGCAGGTCCTTCTCTGATTAAGTGCCAAACATGCACAGCTGCATCTACATGTCCCTCAACTCCAACTTCCACTTTCGTCCCTTGACACAGATTGCTATCTTCTTGGAACATGTGATGCAACAACAACTATTTCACCACTGTTATCATCCATAACTTCTGTGGCACTGTTATCATCCATAGCTTCTCTGGCTGGAACCTCTGATGCAAAAAAAAATCCCCTGCTCTTCTCATCAAGTGTTTGTAGCTTGGAACATGTGATGCAACACCAGCTGCTTCACTACTCTTAGCATCAGTTCTTGTGTTTTTGAAGCGGGAACATGTGATGCAGCACCAGCTGTTTCACTACAGACTTCATGCCCAAAAATAGTAAAAAACACACAAAACCATTGAAAAACACAGGCCCTCACAGCGTTCCTCTCTCCCTCTTTTTTGCCGAGGTTTCCTCTGGACATGTGGCAAGAAGACCCCACGTACTTTATCTTGAGTGTGTGTGCGTGCATGCATTCGTATCCGCAGTGCGTTAACCAAAGTGGAATGCAAGTTTTGGTGGCCACCAGCCACCAAAGTACCAAGGAGAGACTTGCGTGAGCAAGGGCGGGCCTCCATGAGGCTGAACTTTCCCGACCGTTGGCTTAGTGGAAAGCGGCTCTCAGAATTGCATGAGGGCAAGGAGGTTTCGAACTTCAGGTGGGTGAACAAAGCCTTCATTTTGATGAGCCTGGAAATTCCAAATGAGTTGAAGAGCAAAGGAGCTGGACCACCCCCAAGAACTCAGCCCAGTGAGATGTTTAAGCAGCTTGCCGCAGTTTTAACGCATCATGTCAGCAATGCTCGGTGTGAGACACTTCGCAAACTTGGAGTGCCGGTTCTGGTCATGACAGGTAGTGAGGATTGGCTTGTCCGCCCTGTGAATTCCAATGTCATTGCAAGGCATTTTAACACGAAAGTGGACGTTTTGCATGGTATTGGGCATGGTCTCATTTTCCAAGACTCTCCGATGGTCAATGAACATTTGGCAAAGCACATCAAACTTGGAGAGGAGTATGTCCAAACTCTCAATCGCTCCAAGCTTTGACGGCACACGATTGGCTGAAACGGCACACGTTGACAGTGAGAAAGGGAACTATGTGATGGGCTGTGTGTGATGAGATGTGTTTTCCTTTTGGTCAATATGAATGGCACAAAAGCAGAGACGTTGGAGAAAAAAATCAAAAAAAACGAAAGAACCTCAGATGTGCTGGGTTTTTGGGCTAATTGATGGCCCTCGTCTATATGAACCTTTCCAGTCCGTAGGGTTGAGATCCATCTTGCGTTTCGACACGGCATTTTCCCGCCGCAAATCAACGAACAAATTCCTGCTGAAGCCTCAAAACCGCTTGAAAAGTAATTGCACCGGAAAAACCCAAATTGTTGTGTTGGGAAGGTGCAATTGCAATGCAGTTTCAAGACGCGACAATGCCAGTGCCACGCTGCAGATCCAAAAATGGCCAATACAACTTCTGAATCCATTCAGGAAACAAGGCCAGGAACCCTAGCTTGAACCCAGATGGCCCAGGCCTTGATGCCCGCATACGACGTACCAAGTCAAATTGTTCACCATCATCAAGTGGGGCAACGCACTGCCACTGAACAGGCTCACAAAGTCGACACACAGAGGCACGCCGAGCCTGGTCCCACGAGGCCATACCAACGATCAGTACTCCAAACACCGGATGGACAGCCATCAACTCAGACGTGAGGAACCTGGACAGGGGCCGGGCCTCGAAGCGAACCAGTGCACAGACCCGCCCAGCAGGGAGAAACCGCAACGTGGACAACGAAAGGCCCGGCTCCCAGCACGCCACACGCAAGCTAACCCGTCCCCCAAGTCAGCATCGGCCACGGCACCCCAGTCAAGGGTACCGCGCAAGTGCTTGGATGAATCAACCCAGGACATGACACTGGGATGTGACCAAGCCTCTGCAGGTTCCTCCAAGACTGGGGCCCACTCTTGATATGCGCACAATAGATGATCAGAGACCGAAGAAGGAGGCCGAGACGACCCAGAAACAAGGAAACAACCACAGAAACGGGGAAATATGTTTTCATTTGGCCTGGAGGCTTCATTTTACGTGACCACGAAGAAATATCTCCGGACAGCTCGAGAAGCCCGCACACCCTGAGCTTACGACACCACAGCAGCTGCCAGCAATGCACGAGCAACAAGCAGCCACTTCACACAGAGAGACAAACACTCAGGAAGGTTGGGCAACGTCACACCCTCACATGGCCAGAGAAGATCAGATGCTTGAACCTTAGACACAGAAGTGAAAGAGAAGCCTGGGCAACAACCTCAGCCGCAAACCCCAGCTGACGGACCCACCCAGCAGACGACGTATAGAACCCTTCCCAGCTATTGAAGCAGCAACCTGACATCGTAGCGAAGCCAGCTCAGGTGAATCCAGATGGGCCATGAGGAGTTTCCAAGATTGACAAGCGGAACAGAAAATCAGCTACCACCGGGTCATTATCAACACGGCGCTCACATTGCCAAATGACCAACGTATTAATCGGAGGGTAGAGGGAAAAGAAAGGACCGCCAGCAAAGATGTAGTCAAGGCGACTGGCTGAACCACCACGTGTGTAGAAGGTAAATGCACCCAATGCAAGGTGACGTTCGCAAAAAACATCCACCATACCAACCGAGGCCAAAGTACGGTACAAGAGACGGAAGACGCAAAACATGAGAAGAACCCCAACAATCCAAAGAAGGAGCCCCTACCAAGTTAAGATCCCCAACTACAATCGGATGCCAACCTCGTGCCAGGCACAAATCAAGCTGAGACTGGACCCAAGACACCAAACGCCGCTCATTTGCAACCCGCTCGGAGACAGAATCAAATCCCGGCAAGGAAGCACCAGTGGGTCTATACACACCAACCACACGCAACACCATGCCATTCTACAAGGTGATTCCCAACCACGCCAACAGCCCAACGCTGAGATAGCAGGGGGTAAGAAGACAAATCAGACCCGCGGGGGAGGACGTCAGCAGCACCATGAAAAAGAGCAAGGAAGCCATCAGCAAGATCCCGAATAGCCATAGCATGCTGAGCTGCACCTCTGATACTGTACGGGTTTCAGCTATCACCCCAACATCCGCACCCCGGCGACTTCAAAGACTGGCCCCAATGCCTCACCCAAAGGTAGCAGTCCCAACCAGCCCCTCCTGACTGGAGCGACGCAACCTGAGTAACAATAGAACCTTTCCAAGCAACATCCGTGTCTCGCAAGCAACATCCGGTGAATCGGAAAACAGGCAGGGACAGACGAGGAGGGGGGGAGGGATCACCCAACTCGTCCCCGGACATCTCCTCAAAACCAGACGGGTCAGCGAGAAGAGCAAATCATATAGCAAACCCATGGCCAGCACAACAATATGATCCAGAACAACAACCAACCAAGGCGAATAAACACCAACCACCAAGCCGGCGAGCAAAGGCCGAGCCACCACCGAGCCACGGAGAACCAACGCCAAGAGAGCGCAAGGCGACCAAATGCCAACCACCACCAGGCCAGCGAACAAACGCTAGCCTCCCACCAAAGGCAATCGATCGTGCAAGGCAAGGACAAGACAAGCACAAAGCACAAAGGGCGCCTAACAGCCTAACAAACCAAGCACCAGGTAAGGCCGCAAACACCAACAACCACCACAGCACAGCTGAAGGCTGAAACTGGAACACAGACAGAAAAAGAAACCAAAGAGAAGGAGAGAGAAAAGAAAAGGACATGCAGAAAAAGGAAAGAAATGGAGAAAAAGAGGAGGGAGCAGAGGAAGAAAAGGAAGAAACAGAGGAAAAAGAGGAGGGAGCAGACACGTGTCGAACACTAGCCAGACCCAACAATTCACTGGGGCAATAAAAACATTTCACCTACACCCCTCCTGGTGACAATAGGTCAGACAATGGAATAATACGTAACAGCAAAATATATACTCTTCATGGGAACCAAAAGACAAATAAATTGAATTCATATAGAAACCTGACATTAAGATAGCACTGAAGGCCAAAACACTAACACCTACGCACAGAGCCAAAGGACGCGAGGGGCACTTTCACTCTTGCATAGGTAGGGGACAGGATGAAGGGTATTCGTCGGGAACAAACCCGTAGTGTGGCCCCCGGGAACCACACCATCCTAGATACTAGTTCCCTAGCAAAAAAACAAGCGCAAACCCTGGATTATTTAATAATCGTAATTAAAAGTAAAAATAGAACATATAATGTAATATTGTTTTCTTCGCCATAACTATCTAACCTATCAAGGCGTCAAGTCGTTGGCACTAACCTATTTCTAGAAACTATAAATATATATATATATACAACTTAACCGGTACATTCACTGTCCCCACCATTGACTTCAATCAAATAAGCAAATGCATGAGGTGAGTGAAGGTGAAGTGATTTCACATTGAGATTCACATTGAGGACATACACACTGAGAGGCGATTCTTGCGACTGCTTTCTGAATATATAGATATTACATTGATATTATTGAAATCAGGGTGGTTGATATTGCTTTGCTTGTGCAATAATTTGTTCTCTCATATTGCGATTATATATATATATATTTGTTGAAATGTTGTCTTGGCTGAGCTTGGTTATTGATACACATAATATCCTAGGCCTTTTTCATGTTGTTGGTGGTCCAGCAGGGTCTTGGTCTTCCCACCTTGCGGTTTGTCGTTTCTCTTGGCATTGCTGATGCTGTGGAGAAAGTAACTTGGTGTTGAGGGTGTTGTCTTTCTCTTCTGAGCACGTGTCCGCGTAATTTGAGTTTCCTTTCTTCAAGTTTCTCTGTCATGGGTTTTGCTTTCCTGAATGGCCCTGCTATTGGCGCATTGAGTGCTTCATTGACTGTGCTGTACATCAATTCATTGGTATTTTCACGTTGGATGTAGGGTAGTTCGCAAATTAAGTTTTTTTTTTTTATTTTTTCTAAGTCCTTAGAGTTGGAATGTGTTGAGAAGCTGCGCCGCCCCCTGCGTGGGCTCTAAAGTTTCCAAACCATATAAATTTGCTGGTAATACATGCATCGTATACTAACAGCTTCCATTTTTTGCTGCAGCTAGTCTTGAGCCAAAAAATGTCAAATTGTTTGAGGACTGCCATAGTTGCCGAGATGCGCTTCCTAATCTCATGGATCGATTTTCTTGGTCACATGTATGCCGAGGTAAGAGATATCTTCAGACGTTTGCATTCGCTGTCCATTGGAGAAGAAGATAAACGCGCATTTGTCTTGATTAAGCTTCAAATGAAGATAATTAGATTCTGCTTCCACTAAATGCAAGTACTTGGAACTGTTGCTGTTAGTAATGTATCATTTGCATAAAGCAGTTCATTGAAATTGATATCTTGGAAGGTCTTCTGATTTCTTGGATCGTTGAAACTACTTTTACATCTTGAAAAATGCAGTGCATTATAAGGATTAACAGATATGGGTATCAAAGGATCAAAGGACGTCCTTGCCGTATTCCCGTTCTTTGTTTCAGCCATGGGCTGAAGTGGGTTTTGACAACAACTCTGAACTCAGGGTTTCTGTAGATTGGTTTAATTGCAAATATGATGCTATCTGGCATATCCAATCTAGATAATGATGCAAATATGTTTTCATGGTTAAGTTTATCAAACGCCTTCTCCCAATCCAAGAAGATGAGCCACAGTGGGTCATTACCCTGTTCAGCGAAATCAGCGAGTCATCTGACACAGGTTCTACTGTGGATTTGCTTTTTCTGAAACCGAACTGTGTGTTGGCCAAGTGTCCGTCAATAATGTCAGAATCAATTTTTTGAGAATGTAGGCAAACATGTTGTAACTTGTGTTCAGTAATGAGATAGTACGATAGTTTTCTGGATTACAGTATCTGGATCTCCCTTTTTGTAAGCGCTTGCTATCTGTGCTCCTGTGCTCGGGCAAAATCGTCCGGAACATATTTGTGTCGCCAAAAATCGTTGAAACATGCGGTCAAGCTTTGAATATTGCCGTGGTCTAGAAAATTGAACAGTTCTGTGATACACCACCCATCTGGTCCTGGCGCCTTATTTGTTTTCAATTTGTCGATTGCACTTTCTACTTCTTCGGTTGTGACATCAAGAATATCATACGCTAAATCATTATGAATGAGTTTAGTCAAAATTCATGAACCAGGATTAACCCCTTATTTG